AAAAAAAAAAAAAAAAAAAAAAAAAATAAATCTGATTTCTCCTAAATATTCTTTTAAAGGGCTCACCTACGATGATATCCCTTTTAATTAGCTTAAAGTCAAATGATTAGACATCTTATTTATATCTGAAAAAATCCCTCCACCTTCATGTATACTATAATCTAGTCATGGAATGATATTCCGTCATATCCAAAGTCCCATCCAAGGAGAGGGGACTTTGTGTGTCTTGTATCCCATACCAGGGGGTGTGAGCTTTTTTAGAATTCTGCCTACTACAATATTTAATGAGCGATATTTTATTCATCTCAATTCCTGAGTATGCAGAGCTATTCCGATTGATTTTCCTTGACCAGATTATCATAAAGCAAACTAAAATGCTTGAAATTCCCACTTTTAGAACAGCGACTAAAAACTAACAAAAGACATATTTATTTTATTATTTTTAAAATTTTGTCTTTGTTACTATGTGACTATTGGAAGATCATTTAATTTCTGTAAATGTGAGTCTTAATCTTTCAAATGTTGTCTCAAGTAAAACCAGAGAGTATTAGGGTTCTATATTAATATTCCCCAACCATTTTTACTCCGTTTATTACCTCTTGTGCTCCTTTTGGGGGGAGAACAAAACCCTGTGCCCTCTCCCCTTTACACTTGTGGGAAACTCATTCTAGGCGTACCAGGAGGGGCTGATGTAAGCCTAGCCAATCAGCAGACTTCACCTTCCTGGCCACAGGAGGGTGAGTTCAGGGATGGGTATGAGATCCTACCCATGACAACCAGAGGCTCCTTCCTGGCTTACTCCTAATTTTTCTGCCAGAGCAATTCGAGGAAGATGGCTAAAGCTACTGAAATGAAATGACAGAGGTCAGGAGAGGTCAGTGATTATTTTGCTTGCTCTACGGGGGGTGGCGGAGGGGGTAGTGGGGGAAGGCCTATCTGAAGAATGAAGCCAAACAGTAACAAGCAGAGCTAAGAAATGGAAAGAGATATAAAAGCCCTGAATCCTAGCCAGAAATGAAGTCCAGTAAACACAGATCTAATACAGATCCAAGACATGGAAAGAAATGGATTCCTAGGAACATTAACTGAGTCTCTGGATCTAGTATGCCTGTAGCCATTGCAATCGTGAGAAGCTAGGTCGTATGAACCAGGAAGTAAATGTTCCTTTCCTCCCGCCACCACCCCTTTCTTAAATTAGTTTGAATTGAGTTTGTCACTTGCAGCTAAGAGTCCTGATTAACACAATCCACGTAACTGCAAATTTCTGATCAAGGTTCCCGTTTCTGTTGCCAAAAAAAATTGTTTACGAGATGCAAAATATAACCTCAGGTAGGTCTTCAGTATGAAACTAATTATGGAAAATATACTTCAATCTTGGGAGGAATGGAAAAGCCCAGGGGATGCAGTCAAGAATGCGCGGGGGCTCACGCCTGCAATCCGAGCACTTTGGGAGGCCAAGGAGAGAGGATCACTTGAGGCCATGACAGCACCACTGCACTCCAGCCTGGGCAACACAGTAAGACCCTGTCTCAAAAGTAAAATAAAATAAATAACGTACATTTTGTTTGAAACATGGAAGGACATCTTGCATCTTGGCAATTAACTACTGTTAATACCATGACCCGAATGTAAACGGCAATCCGATTTTCCTGCCGTTGCATCTGCAAAATTGCACTCTTGTTTTCTTTCTTCAGCTCCACATTCCCTTAACTAAAATACATGAAGTTCTTCACTCTGTTTTTTTTCTTCTGTGAACAGGAAGTACGTATGGGTAAAAATTACTTCAAAAGTTAACAGGCAAATCTAAATCTCAATTTTTCCACCTTCATTTTGCTTAACCGTGCTTTTATTTGTTTTCCATAATTAATCTGCATTGCTTTTTGTGATAAGGAAAAAACAAACCTTTAAAATCTCTATACCTTATCTTTCCCATGATTTTATACTAAAATTGTTATTAATGAACTTTACCTGCCATCTGGGTTGAACTGTGTTCGCCAAAAATTCATGTACACCCAGAACCTCAGAATGTGGCCTTCGTTTTTTTTCTTTGAATGTTTACTATGCAGCCAGGAGGTGACATCCTCCATCCCCCAGTCCCAGCCCCTGAGACCACAGGGGGTTGGGGGTTAAGGGAAGCATCTATAGACCAAGAAGAAAGTAGCACTAGAGAAGCATCCCAGCAGCCCCACCACGGCCGGTCTTCCCTGGACACCATGAACCACACTGTCCAAACCTTCTTCACTCCCGCCAGCACCCACCATCCCCCGAACTATGAGATACTGAAGGAGGAACATGAGGTGGCTGCGCTGGGGGCGCCCCACACCCCTGCACCCCCGACATCCACCGTGATCCACATCCGAAGCGAGACCTCGGTGCCGGACCACGTCGTCTTCAACACCCTCTTCATGAACTCCTGCTGCCTGGGTTTCATAGCGTTCGCCTACTCCGTGAAGTCTAGGGACAGGAAGATGGTTGGCGACCTGACCGGGGCCCAGGCCTACGCCTCCACCGCCAAGTGCCGGAACATCTGGGCCCTGATTTTGGGCATCATCATGACCATTCTGCTGATCATCATCCCAATACTGATTCTGCAAGTCTATCACTAGATCCAGAGGAATCACCCGGGCCAGGGGCTCCGCCCCTCACCTGCCTCCCATGTACCCCAGCTTCCATTCCTCGCCCTGCCCCCAGCCCATCCTGTGTCAGCCCTTTACCCTCACACACTTTTCTAGTCCAGTTCAATAAAGTGCACGTGCTCCTGTAAAAAAAAAAAAGAAAGTAGCACTAAGGGTTTGGCAGGTTGCCCACTCCTATCCCTGCCTCAGCTAGAGGAAGCCCAGAATCAAGGAGTCACTCCCTTCCAGGTTAGATAAGGCTAGCTGGCCTTTGGATCCCCCAGGAAGAGGTAGGGCAGCAGTGGCATGAGAGGTCCCTCAATAACTCCACACTGGGGTAATATGAACTGGGTTCCATGTCTGTTTCAAACGGTGCATCATCGGGTATATTTTCCTGTCTCTTGCTCCTTTAACTCCTCCAGCTTGGAGAGTTGGTGGGGCTGCTGAAGGATTTGTGACCCCAGGAATCTGAGCAAGTCAGCAGCGGGTGTCCGGGTGAGAGAGAAGAGGAGGCCCCCCATTCCTCAGCCTTGCACCCTCCGGATGGAAGGGAGTGTAAAAGAGATAAAATACCAAGGAACTGAGACCAGTGGTCAGGTGACTTGCTGACACCACTGGCCAGGCCACAATGAGGCCCAGAGGCTGGGAAAGTAACTCCACTCTTGATAGCTACTACATATGTTATCTATAAACCTTGACAATGTTGCAAAGAATGTTATCCCTGCCGGCCAGAGCCCGACACCCAGTCACGTCCTCCACGCTTACACAACCCAGACCCCTTCCTGGAAATACCTCTGTCCACTGGCAATGTACTGCCTTTATCCAGCTCCTGGAAGCCTACCCCTTGCCCTTCCCACGTGTGTCAAATATGAACCGGCAAATCAATGAAGCCAAAGACCGTGAGGTCCTATGCCTAGCCTATGGGCAGTGACACAGTTCTGCCTCAGTTTCTCCTTTAGAGTTGTAAGCCTACAAAAAGGGAAAGGAACTGTTCCTCGGGGAGCTCGGTACTTGGGACGTCAGTCTACCCAGACTCCACGGCCGATCCAAGGTCTCCTCCTTGCTCACTCCGGCGTCTGAGTGGCTTTGTTCACGGTTCTTCCTGCTACATGGGCAGTGAGCGAGTTCTTGCACTGCAGCAGGAACTTTCGGTGGTAGATGATCCTGGTACCTCCTGGTGTAGGGTGCCCGCTGCATGGTGCTGTCATAGGCTGGAAATCGTGCCGCTCTGGGACTTGGCTTGAGTGAGCGGGAGGAGCAGGAAGGGAACCAGCTGGGGGGGTTGAGGTCGTGGGGCGCAGCTGTAGAATGGTGGCTTATCGCAGGTGTAATTTGTTAAAATGATGTCATACTGGATCAGGGCGGGCCCTAAATCCAATGACTGGGGTGCTTCTAAAAAGGCCATGTGAAGACACAGGCACACAGGGAAGACCAAGTCATGACAGAGGCAGAAATTGAAGTGATGCAGCTAGAGACTGGCAGGGGCTGGGGAGGGAGAGGAGGTGGGGCAAGGAAGGTTCTTCCCCGGAGGCTTCGGAGGGAGCACGACCTGCCAACATCTTGATTGTGGATTTCTGGCCTCTAGAACTTTGAGAGAATGAATTTCCGTTCTTTTAAGCTACCCAGTTTGTGATAGTGTGTTGGGCTAGCCCTAGGGAACACCATATTCAATAGTTTCCCTAGTTAGAAATCTGAAAAAAGTTCTTTTTTTTTACCGTCGTTGATGAAAAGAGTCAAACTCTGTAAAACATTTGAGGAGATTTATTCTGAGACAAACATGAGTGGCCATGGCCTATAATACAGCCCTCAGGAGGTCCTGAGAACATGCGCCCAAGGTGGCTGGGGTACAGCTTGGTTTTATATATTTTAGGGAGGCAGGAGATATCAATCAAATACAGTTAAGAAATACTCATTGTGGCCCTGGTGTGGTGGCTCACACCTATAACACCAGCACTTTGGGAGGCCGGGGCAGGTGGATCACTTGGGGGCAGGTGGATCACTTGAGGTCAGGAGTTCAAGACCAGCCTGGCCAACATGGTGAAATGCTGTCTCTACTAAAAATACAAAAATTAGCTAGGCATGGTGGTGCATGCTTGTAGTCCCAGCTACTCAGGAGGCTCAGGCAGGAGAATTGCTTGAGCCTGGGAGGCAAAGTTTGCAGTGAGCCAAGATCGCGTCACTGCCCTCCAGCCTGGTGACAGAGCGAGACTCCATCTCAAAAAAAAAAAAAAAAAAAAAAAATCAGAGCTTAGTTCTCATCCTTTATAATCCTTCCTGCAAAATGTCATTCCTCTTTCCTTTTCTTACCAGTTCATTTAGTTATAAAGAACAAAACTCTCTTCAGGCTAAGAAAAGGGTGGGGAATTACTCACTCTGCAAATTGTCTATTATGCCAGGAGAATGTAGTTCCTGACACAGAGGAGGCCCATTCAACCTGATTTTCTGTTCTAGATAAATGGAAACCCTTATGATTTTCCTAAACACATACACTTCTTTGATCATAGTGGCTTTTTCGGCAAAATATTCTTTTTCTTCTCTAGAAATCAGGATACACAGGCACATGTTCTGCTTTGCAGCACTGTACTTTTTTAGCAAGACAAATAACCTGTGTTCTTCCGAAAATACCAAAAACACCAATTTCATATAATGCAGGGTTCTTTTGAAGGCTACTTGAAAATGTATGTGAAAGCATAGGAAACAGCATCACTTGATACTGACACGATAATATATTATTGTTGTAGGTCTGATCCAAGTCCTGCGCTCCTTTTTAGGTTTTGCTATATTCTTCTAAAGATATACCAATCTTCTCCCCTGATTTTTTTTTGTTTTATTATTTAGTTTTTATTTCATAGTCATATACTTACCTCTGCTCCAGCTAGGCAGGGAGGGGAATAAGGAGCACATGGAACTCAAGGGGAACTGCAGCGAGAGCACAAAGATTCTAGGATACTGCGAGCAGACGGGGTAGAGGGGCGCTCTCCTGAGCTACAGAAGGAATGATCTCGTGGTTAAGATAAAATAAGTCTGCCGGGCGCAGTGCCTCAAGCCTGTAATCCCAGCACTGTGGGAGGCCGAGGCGGGTGGATCACGAGGTCAAGAGTTCGAGACCATCCTGGTCAACGTGGCGAAACCCCGTCTCTACTAAAAGTACAAAAAATCAGCTGGTCATGGTGGTGTGTGCCTGTAATCCCAGCAACTCAGGAGGCTGGGGCAGGGGAATTGCCTGAACCCAGGAGGCGGAGATTGCGGTGAGCCGAGATCGCGCCATTGCACTCCAGCCTGGGTAACATGAGTGAAACTCCGTCTCAAAAAAAAAAAAAAAAAAAAAAAAAAAAAAAAAAAAAAAAAAAAAAAAAAAAAAAAAAAAAAAAAAAAAAAAAAAAAAAAAAAAAAAAAAAAAAAAAAAAAAAAAAAAAAGATAAAACAAGTCAAACTTTAATTAGAGTTGTCCATAGTCAGCGGTGATCTTCTTGCTGACCTTGGCATTCCGGGACCCAAAGCGCTCCATGGCCTCCACAATATTCATGCCTTCTTTCACCTTGCCAAAGACCACATGCTTGCTACCCAACCACTGCGTCTTGGCAGTGCAGATGAAAAACTGGGAACTGTTTGTGTGAGGTCCAACATTTGCCATGGACAAGATGCCAGGACCTGTACGCTTCAGGATGAAGTTCTTGTCATCAAATTTCTCCCCGTAGATGGACTTGCCACCAGTGCCATTATGGCATGTGAAATCACTACCCTGACATATAAACCCTGGAATAACTCTGTGAAAGCAAGAATCCTTACAACCAAATTCTTTCTCTCCAGTGCTCAGAGCACGAACGTTTTCTGCTGTCTTTGGAAAGTTGTCTGCAAACAGCTCAAAGGAGGTGTGGCCCAAGGGCTCGCCGTCAACGGTGATGTCCAAGAACACAGTGGGGTTGACCATGGCTGATAGCATGGGGCTCCTGGCGGTGGCAGCATCTGCAAAGTTCCTGAATTTATTCCCACTCCACCACCCAAGATGATCTGTGGCCCAGGCTGGAGTGCAGTGACACAATCTCGGCTCACTGCTTCCTCTGCCTCCTGGGTTCAAGGATTCTCCTGTCTCGCCCTCCCATGTAGCTGGGACTACAGGCATGTGCCACAACCTCTGGCTAATTTTTTTGTATTTTTAGTAGAGACAGGGTTTCACCATGTTGGCCAGGTGGTCTTGAACTCCTGACCTCATTGATCCTCCTGCCTCAGACTCCAGAACTGCTGGGATTAAAGGTGTGAGCCACCGCGCTCAGCCAGCCCCTGAATTTCTGTGATACTTTCATTACCGCTCAGGTTGACACCTAATTTTACACTATCTTGCAAATTTCTTTTTAAATTGTTCATAAGTATTTTTTCCTTCTCTCCATAACCCAATGGGCTAATAAAGACAGATTGAGGAGCGAGGTGCGATGACTCATGCCAGTAATCCCAGCACTTTGGGAGGCCAATGCAGGCAGATCACCCGAAGTCAGGAGTTTGAGACCAGCCTGGCCAACATGGTAAACCCCTGTCTCTACAAAAAATACAAAACTTAGCTGCATATGGTGGCAAGTGTCTGTAATCCCAGCTACTCAGGAGGCTGAGGCAGGAGAATCGCTTGAACCTGGGAGGCAGATGTTGCAGTGAGCCAAGATTATGCCATTGCACTCCAGCCTGGGCAACAAGAGC